TGTGGTGCCCCCTAAGCCCTACCTGTGCACCAAAGCCATCCTGAGTGTCCAGGGGCAGAGGCAGGCGTCCCGGGCCCCGAACACTGGCTTATCCCTGCTGGAGTTTCCCTCAGAGGTGGGTGCTGGGACAAGTGTACTGGGGGAATGAATCCCCCATCAGGCAGCTCTGTCTGTCCCTGTCACCCTATGGCACTGTCACCACCTCTGTCCTACCACTGTCACTCCCAGCACCAGCCCTGAACCATCACTGGCACACCTTCACCAGGATGCCCTTCATCACTGTCACCTCCGCTATCTGGGCCACCCCATCCCTGTGCCCACCACCTCCCCTACCATCCCTGCCACCCCATCCTGTGCCCACCACCTCCCCCACTGTTATTGCCATGGGCCTGGTCCAGTAGAGAGGGGCACAGCCAGCATTTTGAGATGAGCCCAAGGCCAGGACTGAGCTCATTAGTCAACAGAGCTGAGGGTGGGCTGCTCCAGGGTCAGGAGAAGCCAGTCAAGGTCAAGTTCACCTCTCTTTCATCCTTTATTTGTCCATAGATTTCCTGGGCACCGTGTACATCTCTAAAGTGAAGAGTCAAGGCCACCCCGCTGTCTACAGGCTCTCCCTCAATGCCAGCCTGCCTGCTCCTTGGCAGGCTATGTCGCCTGGGGATGGAGAGGTGCCCTCCTTCCAGGTGAGCCTGGGCTATCGTGAAGCGAGCCACCACCACTGGGGGCGGGGGGGCCCTCAGGGCCACACTGGTGGGCACTGGCCACATAGGGAGAAGCAGCTTTGAGGATGAAGACCCCCCCTGCCCCAAACCAGCCTTGTCTGTGACAGGAACCTGCCAAGTGGTGGCAGCATGGGCTTCTGAGTCAGCCAGGCCTGGATTCAAATCGTGGCTCTGCCATTTATTAACTGTGTGTCTTTGGGCAGATTGCTTACTCTCTGAGCCTCAGTTTCTTCATCCGTGACATGGGGATGTGACAAGCACCAGCCAGCATTGTTGGAGGTGTGTGAGCTGAGGCCTGTGCAGTGCAGAACGCCTGGGTACAGTCCCTCCTCGGGCAGTGGCGGCCAGGAATCTTGCTGTCCTTGGTAGCTGCTCCAGCACCGCAGAAAGGAGTCCCCAGGCCCACACTTGAGTTTTCCCCTTCGTGGGGTTCATTTGTTTCTTTTCTTTTTCTTTTTTTGGGAGGGTTGGGGGGAGGACAGGGGCTTGCACCGTCACCCAGGCTGGAGCGCAGTAGCATGATCATAGCTCACTGCAGCCTCGACCTCCTGGACTCAAGCGAGCCTCTCTTGTCAGCCTCCTGTGTAGCTGTGACCACAGGCACACACCACCACACGAGCTAGTTTTGTCTTTTATTTTTTGTAGGTATGGGGTCTCTCTGTGTTGCCCAGGCTCATTCGTGTTTCTTTAACATGGTATACCCTCCATGGTGACAGGGGCACGTGCCAATTTGTTTGTTCAGGATTTATATTTCCATTTGGAAGATGAGGTCCCTGAGGCTTTTCCTGCCTCTAAGCCTCTGCGTGTGCCGTTCCCACTGCCTGAAAAGCTTTTCCTTCGGCTTCGTGTGTGGCTGACTCCTTGGTGCTCGTTCAGGTCTCGGCACCCCTGTGGGGCCCCACAGAGCCCTGCCCCGGCGCCTTTCTCGCCTTGTCCTCCCCTCCCTGCCATTTATCCTGTCTTATCTTCCTTATTTTTGGAAGCCATCATCATTGCCAGCTCCACAAGGGTAGGGACCGTGCCCCTCAGAGCCCGACGCAGTGCCTGGTATGGCACAGACACTCAGTGAACGATCGTTGAGGGAAGAAACGAGGCTCAGAGGAGGAAAGGATTTGCCGAAGCGCTGAACTCAAACCCAGGCCTCCCAAGCCTCTGCCCAGGGCTCTGTCCCCGACTCCGAGGACTGGGACGGGGTGAACTATGCCGAGGAGGGAGGGGACGGAGCCTGAGGCTGGCCCAGGCTGAGGCAGCCCCCCCGAGTCACATGTCTTGTCTCTGTCAACCCACTGCTTAGGTGTATAGAGCGCCTTTTGGTAACTTCACCAAGAAGCTGACCGCTTGTATGTCTACAGTAGGGCTGCTCCAGGCGGCGAGCCCCTCCCGCAAGTGGATGCTGACGACCTTGGCCTGTGATGCCAAGCGGGGCTGGAAGTTTGACTTCAGCTTCTACGTGGCCACCAAGGAGCAACAGCACACCCGGTAACAAAGCCTGGCAGACAAGCC